TTATCGATCTTATGAAACTATTCATTTCTTATTATTAAGCGTTGAAAGTTGAGCGACGTTTTAACACAATCTTCGTTCAAACGCAGAGCAAGACACCTGTCTCTTGCCCGCGCTTTTGGGAGAATGCCACAACTATACTCAACGATGGTACTACGACTCGTACGAACAGCAATGTAGGCTGTTCTACTACGGTGGTTGCGGTGGAAACGAGAATAACTTCGTTAGCGAACAAGATTGCCTTAACAGATGTCAGACTGCTCTTACCACTCCTGCTCCAGCGAGAGAAGAATTTAAACCAGGTAATATTTGCAGTGAAATGTACAAAAAAAAAAAAAAGAAGAAGAAGAAAATTGGAAGTCTATTTCGACACTAAATTGATTGCTTGCAAAGTGAAACTTCGAATGAGAAAAATGTATAAGGAAAATTTATGAAATTTTCTAGATTTCTGTTTCCTTCCTGACCAACACGGCCCATGTTCCGAGGAACAAGCTAAGTGGTTCTACGACAGCAGGGATGGTGTTTGCAAGCAATTCAGATACGGTGGTTGTCAGAGTAATGGTAACAACTTCAACTCTCGCGAGGAGTGTGAATATCGATGCGGTGATGTTCAAGGTTTGTACACAGTATTCAACATAATTTGATACTTTAGATAGTAGAAGACGAAAAAATTGATATTTATACATTTCTCTATATCTGTGACATAGTTTTGCAATTTGAAGATCACGTGACATATTGTGGAACTTAAAGATCACGCGGCACATTTTGGAATTTTCGATAACGATTAAAAGTGTACTGAAAATTGCATAATTAATTTACTCCTAATTACTCTTTTCTCAGATCCTTGCACTCTGCCGAAAGTCATCGGTCCATGCAACGCCATCGTCAGACAATACTTCTACGACCATCGGTCAGACACTTGTCAGGAATTCGAGTACAGTGGTTGCCAAGGAAATAAGAATCGTTTCCAGGACAGAGACTCCTGTGAGGAAAAGTGCCAGAAACAAATGGTTACTACACCACCTGCTCAAAATATTACCATCACACCTACTCCACCAATTGAATCTGTCTCGAAGAGCCCGATCTGTTACACCTCTGTCGATCCTGGCTCTTGTAACGGCGATACCACTGCTTACTACTACGATTCGCAAAATCAGATGTGTCAGGCGTTCGTCTACGGAGGCTGTGAAGGAAACGCGAATAGGTTCCAGACTGAGGAACAGTGTGAACGTCTTTGCGGAAGATTCCAAGGGCAAGGTACGTGTTAATTTTCATTAAATCAAGTTCTTATAATTGGTGATACCTATTTTTTTGAAAATAGAACTTCTATTAAGCGAAAAAGAATATTTCTGGATTGAAGGCTCAAACACAGGATACACACAAAAATAGATTAAACTGATAAGAATATAATACAGTTGACATTTTTTCCAAATTAAATATTTTAACGTGATTATTTAACTTCGTTCCAAAGTTCCTTCAAAATTCACATTTTTCCCGCGACACAGAGCATTTTTAAATATTATCGACGTGGTATAAATAATTGTTCTCATTGGTAAGTTAACAATAGTGACAGAAAATCATTTGAATTCTCATTTACCCTCATTTTACAGTTTTAGCAATTTATAAAATTGAAATATTCCTCGATTGCACAACACATAAAACTGCAGGCGTAGAAAATTAACCCAGAACGAAATTTTGCGTTTCGAATTAAAAATTTCGAACGAACGTCGCGTCGTTTCAATACGATTTCAATATTTCAATTTTGTTTCGAAACATTTTTATAGACACTTGCAACCTGCCGGTGGCTCCTGGCGATTGCAGAGGCTACTTCAAAAAATACTATTACGACTCGATCAGCCGCATCTGTCGCGAATTTGTATACGGCGGCTGCGAGGGTAACGCGAACAGATTCAGCACAATGTCCGAATGCGAATCGATTTGCATTCATCACGAGGAACCTGTGCCACCTGGAAACGACACCAGTCTTTCGAGTCTGTGTAAGTATCTCTACACCTGTTATTCCTGTGTGTTCAATTTGCTCGAAAAGTATGAAATATAGTTGCAAAAAGGACGGTGAACAAAAAAAAAAACGAAAGAAAGAAAATGTTCGTACCGAATTTATCTTGTGAATAAAACGCGATTGGGCTCGTGGTTGAACAATAACGAGTTTTGAACGATGATGATTCAGCCATATGTAAAGAACCGGTCGACATCGGGTCTTGCACTTCCGGTTATGCCAAGCGATTCTACTTCGACGAGGAACAGCAAACCTGTCGAGCGTTCGTTTACACTGGATGCGGTGGCAATCGTAACAGATTCAAGACCTTCGAGTCTTGCATTAACACTTGCTTTAGCAGTAAGTCGAACAAACGTGATCATCAAGAAATTTGTTTACCTTTTTTCCACGATTCTAATTTACCTTTGCAGCTTCGAATACGGTGTACATAATATGCGTTTTGTATATTGTTTTATTATTATTCTCCTGTACCTATTGAATCCTTCAAAAAACGTCCTATTTTATATATTTAAATATGCTGATTTTTCATTTCTACGTATTTTATATATTTTCACATATTTAACCCTTTTTTCGCTAATCAAGTGTGAGCTTTGAAATCCTGCCGAAAGCCAAAGTGTAATATCGCTTTCACCGCAATGTGTATTTTTTTTTTTCTTTTGATATTTTCGTATTTATCGTGTTGCTGTTTTAAATGTATTTTTATTTTCGAGTTGTTTTAATTGTTGAATCATTTTGCTACAGCTACTAACGAGATCGACGTAGATTCTGGTAAAGACTCGAAGGATCCTTGCGTGGAAGCTCGAGAGGAATGCAACACCATTCGTTGTCCTTATGGCAAGGAGGCGTTTGTGGACTCTCAGGATTGCGAACGATGCCGTTGCGTTGATCCTTGCAGAACACAGATTTGTCCTGATGGCACCAAATGCGCTATCACTCTGGTTGCTACTAAGGATGGTACAGAATACAAGGGTGTATGCAGATCAGGTAATTGCACAATTTACGAAGCTCGTATTTTTATCTGAGAATAGAAAATTCAACTTCTCAATTTACCAGAATAATTGCTATAAATAATTAAATTACAGCAGTCAAATTTCAATTGTAGGGTATCTATATTTCATTATTTTTTTCTATAGACAATCACAGTATTTATAAAAAAAATCATCGTGACATTCAACGTGTTAAAATATAAAAATGAAATACTAGATTTTCCTTGAAATTTATATAGAAAATCACAATTAACGGTGGAATTTTTTAACGTAATTTAACATTATTTTCTCCATAGTTACGAAACCAGGTCGCTGTCCAACAGTATCGAACAGCACCAGATGCGAACAGGAGTGTCTCACAGACGCAGAGTGTTCTGGAGAAATGAAATGCTGTAACACTGGCTGCGGTGTTTCGTGTCTGGAACCGGCGGCTGAGGAAGTTACATCTACTCCTGGGAGACCGTGGGTCACCACTCAACCAGATGGAACGGAACCAGCTCAGATCAGTCAACCGGAAGATCCAAATGTCAGCGCGCAGGAAGGTGGTTACGTGACGTTGACGTGCATAGCTTTAGGAAACCCCAAACCGACTATCACATGGAGGAAGGGAACAATATTGGTAACATTCTACGATTTTTATCAATCGCAACAGTTGGAGAAATTCAAATTAAGAGTTTGGAAAATTGAAAGTTTCAAAATTGGAGAAATTCAAATTGAGAAATTGGAAAATTGAGAGTTTCAAAATTGGAGAAATTCAAATTGAGAAATTGGAAAATTGAGAATTTCAAAATTGCAGAAATTCAAAATAAGAAATTAATGTTCGCAGATTGCGGATGCAGAGAGCAGACGTCGAATTTTGCTCGATGGCTCTCTACAGATCGTCAATTTGGACAGATACGACAGTGGAACTTATGTCTGTACCGCTGACAATGGCTTAGGACCACCGGTAAGAGCGGAATACAAACTGTCAGTCACAGGTACGTACTATACGTTATTTAATAAAATGGTCCTCGTGTTTTGCAAGGTATAGATAGATGTACTGCACTGCAATGAATAGATAGATAACGTAGTGGTTTGAGTAGTTAGTCTAACCAAATTATCAAACGATCTTTTTATGTTTAATTGTTCTAAATAGAGTGATGGTAGTAGTACTAATAATAGTATGTGATGCTAGTGAAAACTAATTAAAGAATGGACATAAAGAAAGCTGTAAGTGCAAAAAATAAAGATGTCAAGAATTTTAGTTATCAAAATATATAAAAAATTATTTCTTAAGTCTTAAGTAAATAAAGAATGTCACTTAGAGCCTTTTTTATATCCAGTCTTCAATTTTGTAATAGAAGCACATGTGTAAAAACTTGTCGAAGCCTCACCTACATTAATTAAAAGCATCCTAATACACTATCTTTCAAAAACAATTACACATAAGTTACTTCCACTGCAAGGTGATCAATTTCTCTTAAAAAATAAACAAATTCTCATCTTTCTTAATTTCTTAAAATATAATTGATCGCCTTCGCGCATACTCAACTTCGTTATCTTCCTCGATAACTCGGTGATAGTTACACTTTTCTCTCTTTTGCATGCTGTTTTCTCTCACGTCTAATACAGAACCTAGGGAACTGGCCGCAACCATACTTGGGGAGCGTAACTCATACGTCACGGTCACCATGAACTCCCCCATATCTTTGAACTGCTACGCGTATGGTTGGCCTAGGCCGTTCGTCACCTGGTGGCGAGGTGATCGTATGTTGCCGCTTTCTTCGGAAATTTACGAGCAAGACTCCGAATACACCCTCCTGATTCGATCTGTCACGCTACCGACGTTAGGTGTGTACACCTGTCAAGCGTTCAACGCGATTGGCAGGGCTGCATCTTGGTCGGTGACGCTGCAAGCTATCGGTCCGGTGTACAATGTCAGACCTGAATACGAACAGTATATCAAGTATCTGGTCGAAGCTCCTAAAAAGCCAGAGAAACCTCAGTACCCTTATAGACCCGACAGAACGCAAACTACTGACTATAATCTGACCTACGCTGCTATCACCACTATCAGACATACGTCTTATATTCCCACGGTTAGTCCAATTGGATGGAGCACCACTTGGGATTACGGTTTGAGGTTCAGAGGTGAGAGGGTAGTGTTTTGTGTTTTTTTTTTTTTGTTAATTCTCCAATTGCAACGTCAAAAGGTGGATGTAAGATGTTTTTGTTAAACGAAGAGGGAAGAAATATAGAAAATTTCACTTATACTTTAAGTAATGAAAACACTCAATGTCTACCTTTTGAAACTGTAATGCAATTGGATTGAATTCTTCTGTTTTAACATTTGCATCTTGATTTCGAATGCTTTGGCACGCTTTACTGTATGAAACGCTAAGCTCGCTTGTATGTTAATTATATAGAAAAATTATTATCAACACTATTCATGTCAGAAATCACGGAGTAGGTAAGTTCGCACAATTTCAATTTACATTACAAATTTGCTTTTTGAATTTTTTCTCTCTCTCTCTCTGTTTCTCTTAATTTCACTTGCAGATGAATTTTAACGTAATATTGACTTTTCTACAGTGCCTGTCACAGCTAACATAACGATAGGACAAAACCAATTCCCAGAAGGCAGCGATGTTAGTATCGCTTGCCACGTTGATGGTTTTCCATCTCCTCGAGTGCAATGGTTCAAGGATGACGAGCTGCTTCTTACGAATAATCGAATTCAGATTACTGGTAAGTGTATACCTTTACTCGTTCTACGAATATTTCAAGAAAAACACATCGTTTCACGAATTTTTCCAATTCTATTTCCAGAAGTGAACAGACTTGTGATCAGCGACGCGAATCGAGAAGACTCCGGTCGATATCGCTGCGAAGCGAGCAACAACTACTCGTCCGCTTCTTCTTCGGTGGACATACAAGTTGCTGGTAGGTTTTCGTGTCTTTCTCCGTATTAAAAAACAAACAAGAATATTACGTACGCAAATTTTCGAAAATTAAAATTTCCAATTAAACTGTTCAAGTCATTTTAACAGAAAAAGAAAATCGTACTAACTGTGTTAAATCTTTGCAAATCTTGCTAACCAAATTAGACAAAGAAAAAAGAAAGAAAACATTCCGTTCCTTTCCCAAAAAAGTATTATCTTCTCAAGAATTATCGATACTTAGAGAAACGCTGTTTTCTCTGTTCCAGGAATCTTCATTCATCCTAACTGCCAGGATAACTCGTTCTTCGCGAAGTGCGACCTAATCGTGAAGGCGAGATACTGCACGCACAAATACTACGCGAAATTCTGTTGTCGATCGTGTACCGAGGCCGGTCAACTGCCTTCCAGAGGACCTCACCTGGGTAACTCGAGAAGGAGGAGAAGGTTCATCATGAAGAATCTCGTTTAAAAACACCCCCCGTTGCTTACGGTGAGCGTATAATTCATGAGCGTATCGCGACAAGAAGGGGCAATTACGATCAGGCGTGTGAATATCGACTGTTAACATACCGAGGGGATAGAAAGAAAAGAAAAAAGCGAAAGAAACGACGACGGTTAGGATTGGAACGGGAACCCTCGTCTGTCTCGAGCGTGTGCCGCATTAATCGTGACGTTAATTCACTGCCAAAGCCTTAGAACGTCTATACATAGATATCTATAATATATAATTAAGCAACAGCGAGACGGAGGTGCGCGAGGACGCGAGACGAGTTCTATCTATCGACGAAACAACAACCAAGTACACTTTCGTCGATGGTCTTTTTTCTTCTCCTTTTCTTGTCTTTTTATTTTTGCTATTTTCAAACGTCGTCGTTGTCGTTTATGTATGTATATACGATCTGACGCTGAATCCTAGTCGGTCGAAGCCATACCAAGGCGGGTTGATCACTGTCCTCCGAGGAACGAGAGGAAGCGTCTCGATCGAGGTAATCGATCGATACTCCTTGCTATTTTCCTTTTCCTTTCTCTTCCATTCGCGTTCGAGTTTCGAATGTCTCTAATTATACGTCGGAATTGTGCAATGAAATGCGTAGAAATTGAAAATCGGGGTATTTCAAGTGCATCGAATTTCTAACGAGTATCGAATTTCAAAACGTGCATCGAAAAAAAGGACGATTTGGAAATTTATGAATTTACGGCAATCTACGAGTTACGTTGAATTACAAAAATGGAAATCTCCGAGAACGGAGACGATAATCATACAATTTCAGAAATATAATCACTATGGATCTACGCAAGGACGCGATCTATCGATCGATCTTATGGTGCAAGTGGACGACAAAAAGAGTTTCGCGATACAGATACGTCAGGAGAACAATAACGTCGCGGATAGCGAATATGAAACGCTCCGCCCTTTTTCTTTTTTTGTTTCTTTTTTTATTTTTTCTTACCGAGTACGTTGCGTTGCGTGATCAAATAAAAGAAAGAAAAACAAAATGAAAATGAGACGACGATAGAGAGTAGAGAGGGAAACTTGTACCTATTTGTATGAAGCATATACGCACGTTACGTTGTACAATATAAATAGTTTATTACGCAGTATGCCATTTATATACTCTATGATACTGTTATTACTTATTCCTTATCGATATCCGGATATATTGCCATACCACGAATAGTCCTCTGTCGTGATTGAACGACATTTATGATATCGTAGCGGCGGTCGAGAATCGCGAAGGTGCATCGTCGTGAAAATGATTCTTCAACGGGATGGAAACGAAAGAAATTGGAAGAATCGAATGGAAAATTTGCTCTTGCACACGATATCGAGGCTTTTCATGTGTTTCAATTTCGGCTTACTCGATTTTTCAGTCTTCTCTTCTCTTTTTCTATTTTTTTCTTCGTGTTTTTTTTCTTAGAAATTTCTTTCCAGTTCTAACGCATTCGAAAATATTACAATTGTAGGAATTCTGAAGAAGAAGTGTTATAATGTTCAATCACAATGTGCAAGAATTCATCTGTAATTCAATCACGATACGCACCTTCTTTCACCATATTAACGTGTTGCATTTATATATTTGTTCCTGAACATTTTAATCGTAATGTTAACTACGTACTGTTACTATGTATACTGTATCATCTACCGTGAATCCTTGGACTTGGAGAGTAAGTGCATAAATTTGTTCATCTCTACAAATTATCCTTCTTTATTCGAGTTTAAAAAATTTTTTAATTTTCTAGAGTCCGCAAGACATTTAATTATCCCTTATTTTACATTTGAAGCAGATAAAAGGAATATCGTATCCTTCGAAACATCAAATCTTAGATTTGAAGTGGATAAAGTAAATATCAAATCCTTGGTAGCTTCGAATCTTTGCAAAATATATTTTAAAAATTTACATCGGCAAATTTGTGCTCTTAATCCCGAAACTCCACAAAAGTATCAGTAGCTCGTAGCGTATCGGAATTCCGAAGGGAAAGGTACCAAAAGCATTTATAATTATATATATATATATACAAATATATATAATACGTATACTCTAAGCATAAGTTTTACTCGATGATGGAAAGAATCCACGGAACCGTAGGAAAAGATATTCTTCTTTCGTCTGATCGTTTCAGTCACAGTAAATGACAGTGCCTTATTAGAAGCCCTTCGAAAGTGTCGAGGAAGGAGTGCTAAATAGAAATTTACATACAGAGTACTGTTAGTGTAAATACAAAGTAGCGTACGCGAAGCAGAATGAATTGTCTCAAAGATTTTCAATCAGATGTTCAACCGATAGCCACCGAAAATGTTTTAGACGATTGCACCCCAATATATCGGAACGAATTCCTCCGATTTTACTTGAGAATCTTTCCGTCTTCTTACATACTTTTTTCTAACAAATTTTCGTAGAATTTCAAAATTGTGACAATCAACGATGTTGCTTCAAAGAGGATGCATATCAATGAAAAAGTTCAAAGTAGGACCTCTCCGATGATATTTCTAAGATAATTCTTATAAACTACGTTTATATATATATATTTCGAAATTTATTCTATTTTACGTGCTCTTCAATTTACTCGGAGGAATCGATCTGAGAAGAAAATACGAATGAAAGAAATGATATTGAGTACTCTTCTCCTCCGTACTCCTTTAGATGTGACCAAACTAGACATGACACGATTGTAATAACGTAGCGACACGACTTATATAGTAAATGTATAAATAGTTCTCCTAGTTTAACGGGCATAGATGTATCCTACTGATCGCATATCGATTAAAAAGAAGAAGAAACGTAGAATCAGAAATGGGTATCGTCTTTGTAATGAGAGAGAGAGAGTGAGATATGTCGAGTCAAAAGGAAAAAGCAAAAATACGCCGGTGAACGGTGTCGTTTCGGTAGATTCTCTCTATTCTATAGTAAATAATTTATATTTCTACCGTGTGATTTTAAGTCTGTACAATGGCCACGCATTCACTTACACGTTACACACTAGAGATGTATATAATTCCCGCTATATTACGTACTATACTCGTTAATCGAACTATCGTATCGGCCACAGAAAAACTCCTCGTAGAGACTTTGTAGAGAATTTGTAGAAGTGATCGTGATCGTTGATTCGTCGATGATTTTTTTTTTTTGGAATAATTCAACTCCAAGGGGAACCGTTCTTTATTTTGTGTTTTTTTTTTTCTCTCTATAATACGAAGATAGTATATCGGATATAGTGACATTACCTTGTAGTGATGTTTAGAATGGCTATGATAGTTGATAATGATATTATAATTATACAGAAGTAATCAAAATGTTTAAGATTATGAAATAACACGACGTGTTCAGTTCGCGTACAATAAGTAACTTTAGTTGATTATCTTGAACTCTAGCTTCGTGAATTTAACTTATCGTAGAAAATATATGATTTCATTGTAGACATTCTTTTATTGTTAATTTTTCGAATTTACATCCGCTTCTCCATGATTATTCTACAATTTTCAAGTATTAATATTTGATGTTTTTTTTTCGTTCTCTTTCGTTCCCGTAGGATAAAGCTTACCAAAAAAAACGAAAAAAAAAAAAAAGAAAAACGTAAAAAAGTGGAACACACCTCGCGTATAATCGACAGAAATTTTCTCTTCAATTTTCCATTTGATTCCATGTATAATACTGTCGTAAGGTTCTTGTATAGATTTTTCGAGAAAAGTTCTTCGACGAACGGACAACGTTCACGATCATAGCTGCGAGTATCACCGACGAAGGATTTAAGCGTAGTTGCGAGGGGGGAAAGAAAAAAAAGAAATGAAAAAGAATTTGCCAAAAAGGAGAGAAGGAAGAAAAAAGAGAAGAAAGAAAAAAGAGAAAAACGAAAAAATAGTAAATTAATCACTTGTTCGTGTCTCCAGTGTATTATCTATACGTGCATATAGCTCATCGCGACAGTGCTAAAGATTTTAGTGAGTAGGAATGCCACTATACAAACATTGTATGGACAATAATAATATATAAGATCCTTAAATATATGGTTAAACGATCAAAACGATCAGTATGATTATTTTTTTTTTTTTGTACGAGAAACATCGTTGCAATCAGCAACATCCTAACAGAAGATAACAAGTTCTCTCATTCGTTGATTTTCGTCTATGTGCTAACATAATTTTATTAAATTTCAATACATATCTACATTTAATTAATTACTTGTTGAACTAACAAAAGTATTACCAACTAAATCACTATTATTAACTTACCAGTATCATCGAATACATTTTTCAGAAAGACACACATTTTCAAAATTATCTTCTAATAATTCATATTCATTCTTCTACGATCCATTTGCACAGAATTTCTCATGAGATAACGCTTGTGCTGTTCTTCGACAATCACAGCCCTCTCGATCCTTTCTGTCGCGATCCTTTCGATATTCGCGAACAGTTCCGTGTGCACAGCGATGCATTTTCGAAAATCTTTACGATCTAAACGGTACACCTCGCATACTTCGATCGCGATCACGCTTGCCACTCTTCTTTGATCCGGAACTAGAAGGGCCACTTCACCGAAATGTGCTCCATCGTCTAGGTGACAAATCTGAGAAGAATGAAAGTCAAGTTGGAAGTAGAATAAAAGTACTGACATTCAAAAAATGCTTCTATGAACACAGAAGTGTATTTTTGCTCGCTACAATAAACTCTACATACTTCCAAATATTTATCACAGCTCGATTAAATTGAGAAAAATTTAACGTTTAAATTATCGATAAGAAAAGAAATATTGATAAGAAAATTACTACTCGCCAAATACAATATTAATTGAAGCTGACAAAATACAATTAAACTGCAAGAAAATTGAGTGGAAAACATAAAACCAGCCCTGAAAGCAAAATACAGTTTTAAAGTTATACAGTATATTCTCCACAAGTGTCAGACCGCAAGGAAGCTAAATCTGACACTCGTAGAGTCAGGGACTACGTTTTCGAGCCTTGCGCCCGCGTTTGTAGTTTGCCGAACGTAGACAAGGACAGCGAATAAAAGATAAGCATGAAACGTCAGTCGAGGCAACCAAGCGATTTAAATATCAACTTTTTTAATTTTACGTTTCTTTACCCCGAAATTTTTCTTAACATATTGATGAGATTTTTCTGATGAAAATGACATAAAACACGACATAATATGAACAACATTTACTTATTAACACGTTCACTGTCACGCCAGATTTACAGGTTGCTGTCAGGCGGCCACAAGAAAATACATTTTAAGC